GACATTTGCTCAACTATGTTCATAGCAGCTTTATTAATAATAGCCAGAATCTAGAAACAACCTAGATGTCCAGAAATGGATAAAGAAATTGTGGTACATTTACACAATGGCATACTATTCAACTATTAAAAACAAGGACATCATGGAATTTGCAGGCAAAGAGATGGATCTGGAAAGGATCATCCTGAGTGAGCTAACCCAGACCCAGAAAGACAAGCATGCTATATACTCACTTAGAAGTTTATATTAGTTGTTAAGTAAGAAGTAATCTCACTACAGTCCACAGACCCAAAGAAGTTCTATAGGCAAGATTGGTATATGTGGGTATTGAGGTAGATTGATTCTCAGTTCTCTGAGTAATCACTGTGTTAATTTCTCTAGTGACTGTAGAAATTTGCACTCTCACCAACAACGTTGAAGTGTTCCCCTTGCTCCATATCCTTGCTGGCAAGAGCTGTTCCTTCTATTATTAAGTAACCATTCTGACAGGTGTAAAATGGAATCTTAAAGTATTTTTGATTTGCATTTCCTTCATGGCTATGGACTTCAGACATTTCTTTAGGTGCTTCTCAACTATTTGCAGTTTCTCTATTGAGAATTTTGTTTAAACGTGTACCACATTTTAAAATTGCATTGTTTGGTTTGTTGATATCTGGTTTCTTGAGTTCTTTATATATTTTGAATATTAGTCCTCTATCAAATGTGGAGTTAGTAAAAATCCCATCCCATTTTGTAGGCTGCCATGTTAATACAATATCTTTTGATTATATTTATTCCCACTTCTGGACCTAACCCTACACCTACACACAAATAATAATTTTTTTTCTTTTATTGAAAAAAATCATTGTTTCATACAGCATATTTTGATTAAAGTTTCCCTTTCTCCTACTCCTTTCAGGTCTCTCAGCTCTCCATTACATCTGATTCAACACAGTTTCTGTCTCTCCTTATGAGACAAATAGACATCTAACTAATGATAATAAAAAATAAAATAAAAACAAATCAAAACAGGACAAAACAATCAAGCAAGTAAAAGCATCAAAGGGGGGAAAACACAAGAAACACATATAGACACAGAGATCAAGATACAAGATGGCACCCTAAAGCAGTCACATCATGGGTCACCAGTATTGTCTGTAATACTAGGAGATTTTTGTATCAACTTTATGTAGAGAATTAGAGAGTCAGCTACAGATATCACAATGCTCATTAGAGAAGTTTGTTCCTATAACCATGTTCTGCCAAAACCATTTGTACTATAGCAATCTACATTAGGCACAATTAACTAGAGAAAGAGAACCAACTGAAAATATACATGTTGAACTGTGTGTGGTGATAATGCTTCTAATCCCAGCACTCAGGGAGGCAGAGGCAGGTTGATTGCTGTGCGTTTGAGAGTTTGAGTCCAGGACAGACAAGGCTACACAGAGAAACCCTGACTTGAAACACACACACAAACACACACACATATGTATAAGTATACATACATACATAATATGTATGTATGTATGTATGTATGTATGTATGTATGTATGTATACGTGTGTGTGTGTTTGTGCACGTGTTGTAAATGGAGATTCACTAGTGTAGGTTACATTATAAAGACTG